TAATATTTAAATCATCAACATATATAACCACTATCACTAATCCCTTTTTGAATTTCTTTATAAAATAAATGAACAAATATGGTTATTTTTATAACATTCATTCAATAAATATTTATTGAGGTGGTTATACCACATGCAAATAGATTAATAATAAAAAAATGGTAAAATAAATAAATAAATATAAAAAGTATAACATAAATTGAAATTTTAAAATCTAAAATAACAAAACAAATACTAAAATAATTATGATAGAAATCTTTATAATTTAATTGAATTCATTTCTCGAGAATATGTTTTTTATGCTTCGACCATCTTAAGTCCTTCTAGGACTTTCACACACACACACACACACATATCATTTTCAACCGAATAAATAAGTTGCAATCACATCCATTAAATGCATGCATATGAATTTTTCATATATTTTTCTAAGCTAACGAGATAACAAAATGTAATAGCATCCATTCCAGAAGAATATGCCTCTTCATAGTCAATGTCAAGTCTTTACAAAATCTCTTGTGTTAAAAGTCTTGTTCCGTATCTTATAATCTCATCTTTCTTATTTCGTATTCGCATAAATACATATTTGTATTCCATTAGCTTACCATCTTCGTGGTTTTGACTATAAGTTTAAAAACTACTCATTTGTAAGAAAATATAATTCCGTGTAGATTGTTTTTGACATTTAAACCAATCATCTCTATTTTGACATTCTTCAATAAATTTAGACCCATGATCTTTATTTTCATTCAAAATATCAATTGTAATATTATAAGTAAAAATATTATTAATAAATATTTCTTTTTTGTCCTATTTTCTCTCGGTATTAATATAATTTATCAAAGTCTCTAGATTTTTCTCAAGCATTTGGACTTCTTCCGGATGTCTATTACTAGAAATATCTTGGATCGTTTTATGAATATTTGCATCATTTATTTTAATTATCTAGCCTTTTCTTTTGGGGATTTTTTCTTTTAGAAACCGATTGGTTTTTCACGCTTCGTGCATGTTGTAGATTCATTTACTATAACATTAATATATTGTCCTTTCGAACATCAATTCTAATGGGAGTATTCTCGGCGAAGACATACATTTTAGTTACTCTTTTAGGATCTAAAAATGCATCTAGCGATTAGTTTGTAATATCTTATAAACGAGTTATCTTATGAACTTTCATTTCACATTATTTTGTACCAAATTGATATAAAGATAGAGTACTTCATGTAATCTCTTTTTTCAACATTTTCAACTCGCTTATTTTGCCTACTATTAGAAAAATTATTTCATCAAAATGACGATCAATAAATTGAGCCGTAAAAATATCTCTTATTCATGGTTCAAGATATTAAATCATCGAAGAGGATTCAAATCCAACATATATTCCCAATTTCTTTTAAGTGCTTATTGTATTTCGTTATGGAGGAGTACTACGGATATATACTCGAAATGCTAAAAATTCTTAAATAAGAAATATTTGACTTATGACCATAAACCAATCGAAGGAAAGAGAATTTCGATAACTTATGGGTCTGATCCAAATAAGTGTTGTTGCATATAAGATTGCATGTCCCTTAATATAAACATGGAGTTTTTTTTAAAAATAATGGTTTAGCAATAAATTGGAGCTCTTTGATAAATGATTTTGCTAAACCTTTTTTAGTATAAACATGAACAACATGATGCTCAACATTTATTCTAATAGCCAATCAATAATCATTTAATGATTAGAAGACAAATTCACCAAGCATTATCAAAGTGAATTGTTTTGATGGCATAATTTAAAAATTATGCTTGTAATTGAATTATTTGGGCTGAAAATCTCAAAAACGTTAAGTTTCGAGTAGATAATAAATATACATATGACCATTTTTTGAATGCATCTATTAAAACTATAAAATATTTAAATGGTCTATATGGTAGATGAATTGATCCACATATATTACATTGAATAAATTTTAAAAACATTGGAGATTCAATCTCAATTTTACTTGGTGATGGTTTAATAATCAGTTTTCCTTGAAAACATGCGGAACATTAAAATTCATTAGATTGAAGAATCTTCTAGCTCTTCAATAGATGTCTATATGAATTTTTAATAATTTTTTGCACCATGAAAAACCCAAAATAACACAACCGGTCATGTCATATAATAAAAGTATTTGAATTAGTAAACTTTTGGTTTACTACAACATTTGTTTCAATCATTTCAATATTTATAATAAAGACCAAAAGAAAAAACAAACGAGTAAATTTTTCAATTCATATTTTCTACTCGATATAATAATTATAATAAATAAGTATTCAATATTTTTCACATTTGCTCGTTTTGATGTGATATCAATTTAGATGAATATCTTTGGAACTTAACAAATTTTTATGAAACTTTAGAGAGAATAATATATCCTTTATAATAAAATTTATTCTTTCGGATAATAAGATATTTGCTCTTCTGGAGCTTTTAAATTATGTCACCGCAAGTAATAATATATTCGCTATCGTAGAGTCTTTAAAAGTTATCTCTTCAAGTAATAATATATTCGCTCTTCTAGAGCCTCAAAAATTTATCTCCTCGGGCAATAATATATTTGTTTTTTAAAGCCTTCAAAGTTTTTCTCTTCGAGTAATAATATAGTCGCTCTTTTGGAGCTTTCTATTGGATTGATATTATCATATATAATATTAACATAGAATAAATAAATAAATAAATACAATAAATATAGTCTTCATAAACATAAATGAATAAATAAATAGTAAAATAATTTTACATTTATTTCTATGCGATAGAAATTATAAGAAAATATAAAACATCTTATTTATAAATAAAAAAAGCTAACAAGTTTTCAATTACCACCATTTTGATATATAAAATTAGCCTTTATATTTTATTCTTTCTTTTTTCAAAGAGGCTTGATAAGGCTTAATGAAGTGCTTTAGTGTACGGTAGGTACACAATCATTGTCTATTCATCCCACATCTATAACATTCATTTTTATAATACTTACTTGATTCATTTTTATTATTTTTTATAAAGTTTATCCACTTCGATGGTGAGATATATAATCATGGTCATCATAATTATAATGATAATTATTTTGACCACGTCAATGGCTATGATCACGTCTTCATTCATGTCTAAAATTATTATAAGTCGTCACATTCACTTCGGGGAATGTAATAGATCCGATTGGATGAGATTTGTTCTTTTTCATCAATAGCTTTTCATTTTATTCGAGTCATGAACAAGTATGAAATCGAATCAAAATATTTCTTAAACTCTTTTTCTCGATATGCTATTGTAGAATTATATTCCGATATTCGAGACATGAAAAGTAAATGATATTAACTCGAGCATCAAGCACTCATGATTAATAATTCTTGCCTAAAATGTCAATGGCCACAAAATCAAGTTTTGTGATTGTTGATATCATAAAAATTTTATATTGCAAAGTATAATAATAATATTAGGAAATAAAGACAAAATTTAATAATAAAATTTAAATAAAAACAAACATGATAATAAAATTTAAACTTTTCAAATAATATATATTAAATCATTAGATTTTAAATATTAAATTATTTAAGTTTTTCAAATGTATATTCTATGTATCATTAGATTTAAAGTACATGATAAATTAGATACATACCTTTTAATGATATAAATAATTTAGATCTTTGGGTAGAACATTTGTGTAGAAAAAATACAATGGTTGAAACAATTGATTAATTCTTTTGGTAGATACATACCTCATGGTCTATTGTCTCGATTGATTAGAGCTTCGTATCGATAACGTGTTATAAAAGAAATGGTAACAATAGTAGAATTGAAGAGAAAGATGATAAAAAAACAAATTCACAATAAAATGAAGTGAATACAAGAGATAATAACTCTAAATAATTTTCTCAATCTCTACAAAATACTTCTACACAAACTAATGAACAATCAAGCCTATTTATAAGCTTCAGGATTATGAAAAGAATTGGAAGGGACTATGAATCATTAAAAGATGCATAAATAATTGAATAAATTGCATCACCTTTTTAATTTCTCATTCAATTGAATCACATGAATAGAGAGAATATGAAATGGATATTCGTTATTTCATAACAATATTCTTATTATGTAGTTTTTTCTTTGTAGTTGCCAAGATATTCTTTTGGCCAGTTCTATATTTGACAAAAGCATCCTTTTCTCTTTTCGTTTAAAGGGTATTTTTGAATAAGTCTTGATGCAGCGAATTTAAATCCCTTTCTTTGGTCACTTAAAAACTACCGAAGAAAGTTAGTTTGAGTTAAAAAGGTTTTAATGGTTTAAGTAAGTAGTTTCAGTTTCGAATCTTTATGTATGTAAAATGTTTTTTGAATAGTTATGTCAACAATAAGGAATTAGTATGGACTTTCGAGTCTAAAACATCTTGAGAATATAATAAAAGAGACGATACACAATGTTTTTATTTATCCATCATATTCTTTAAGTTTAATCTATTAAATTCAAATTGATTTAGTACGGGATAAAAATGATAACAGCTTAAATTTTTTTTTTAATTTAAATTATAAAATTAGAATTAATTATAAAATTTAAAACATAATCGTTCATCCTACTACTACTCCTCCTCCTCCTGAATTTAAATCTAAACATGGGATGGGGTTTCAATTTCCCTGTCCACTTATGAGAAACCAAAAACGGGCCAAGACTGTTCAAGCCCAGATCTTACCAAAACGACAGTCACTGGACTTTGGTCCACTCTCAAATCTCTCGTTTATTTAATTTATTTTTACACAATCATCAGCGTAATGCAGAGGAAAAGAATAGAAACGGTTGCAAGTGAAGCACGAAGAAAGAAAGGCATAAAATAAAATTAAATAAAAGAAAAGGAAACCCTCAATTTTATTCGACCCAAAATCAAAATAACAAATCTCTTTTTTCCCTCAGACAGACCCAAAAACACGCCCGCAGAAGAACATCCACAACAAAATAAGAAGCAAAGGAAGAAATAAAATCAATGGCAGAGAAAACCGACGTCAATGCTAAATGGGACGCGTGTCTCGATCTGTCGGTCCGGCGCTTCGTTTACTCTTCCTTGGCCGGTGCCTTTGGCGGTCTTCTCCTCTTCAGTCAGTCTCTCTCTCTCCCCCTTTCTCTTTTTCTAAATTTTCTTACCTTCTCGTTTTGATATTATTAATGAATAAATGGCTTCTGGTTTTTCTTTCCTTTTTTGGCATATTTGTTGTTGCTCTGTAATTATTTTGAATTCAGTCAGGTTTTTTAGTGCTAATTTACAAGTGATGATGTTTTCTTTTGCCAATTCCTTCAATGTTGTTATTTTAGCAGTGGACCCAGATTTACTCTTTGGATTTCAATGCCAGCGGCATACATTTTAAGCAGTTTTGTTGGATGATCCAATGCCCGAATTGAAATTCACTTCTTCTTTTGGGTGCGTGAGTGACAAATGTTATGATTTGCGAGGGAAGAAAGGGCTTGAATTAATAATTTTCTGATTGGTCAATTTGTGGGATCCTTTGTTTTGCTGCTTAACGGTTAAAATTTGCAATAAGCAAACTTGCATTTGTCTAACAAGAGAAAGCTTCCTGTAGTGCTGCATCTTTAAGTTTCGAGGATCTGAATGGTTTAGATAGTTTATTTATTTGGCGCCTGACATTTTATGCTGGATGTGAAAACCTGGTCTGTTGCATGGACGGTTCTACTCTTATGATTCATTGACTATTACGGCATGTTTCTGCCCTTTATTGAGAATTCAGATTGATTAATTTGATCATTTTTGAAAAATAGGAACCCCAGTGTCTCGTTGGGCATCTGTAGCTTTCGGTGCTGGAGTAGGCATTGGGTCTTCATACACGGACTGTTCTCGAATTTTTGATGGGTCACCGGCAAAGGTAGTACCTGTTAAGACAACATCAAGTGCTCCAGAAGAGTTACCACCTCCTAATACTTTGAGTGCTCCTGCTTCTCAGGTATGCTGATGATAACAAAAACCTTTCACATAAATAAATTATTTCACTCTTTTTCGGTCTTCGTTCTCTGATGCTTGTGCAGTCTTCTATGTAGATTTTGTGAACATACTATTCAAGGAATGGCCTGTTTACATTAGCAAGGCCTTGATTCGATATTGAAGAGGATATCATTATTACTCTTCGCCTTCCCAATTCTGTTCATTTAGTGTGTGTGATTTCTTAAGGCTTCTTTGAATATGCTGTGCCAAAACTTCTGGCCAGTTCCCGTCATTTTTTTTCGGTTGGCTATTATGATATGATTTTGCTGGTTGGTCATTTTACCATTATGTTTTGCACTCATGCTACCTACTTTATCTTGATAACCTTAGTCTCAGTACACATGGCCGCAAAACACTTGAAAAAATTATGCCAAAGATAGAACTTTGGTTAAATCAGTTTTTGTAATCTCCATTAAAATGTTTGATCCTTTCCCTGAATGTTTTTTATTTATTTTTCTAATCATTAGTTTTGCTCAGATTAGTGCTGACATGAATACTATTCCTACTATTTGAATTAGAAGAAATTTCAATTCCCAAATCACTAGGTCGATAAATGTCAATACGATGGAATAGATTAGAATCTTTTTTTTTTTTTTTTTGGTCCATAGCTCTTTTCATCCTTAGACTTTTTTCTCCAAGGGACACAATAAAAGTGTTCCTGTCAATAGAACTTCTTTTCCTTAGTATAACTTGGTTCTCACACTTAAGAATGAATGGAATCCCAGTTCTTTGGCACATAATAAGTCATCCATTATTCTAGCGAATTGGTTCCTTAAGCAACATTGTTTTTCTCATTAAATAATTCAACAGTTAATTTCTTTTCAGTCATGAGAATATTAATAGTCATTTGTTCCCTTTTTGAGTCTATTAAAGTAGGATAGCACACATTCTTTCTGATTTTTGCATATAAGCAGGAGATAGAATATAATCTACAACTACATAAATTATTCAATACCAACCTGTCAAATTCATATTTGATTTCATGTTAGATCTAAGCACATCAATTTAGATTATCTTTGTGCATTTAACATTGAGAGAAGTGACTTTGTACATGTTCACTAATGATATTTTTATAAGTTTTATGCATTTGATTTAGTTTCCCCCACTATATTACCCTTTTATGGTTTTCTAGTATGATATGGAGCCTTGCATTGACACACTGTTAAGACTTCATGCTTTTCTGAAATTGGAATTCTTTTGATTACTGACAATTTCTCAATAATAATGATGACGACACCGATGATGATATAAGTAACACCTTTTTCTGGTCTTTGTTTGGCTGCTCTATTGATTTGTGGTGGCCTGTGTGACCTACATTTACTACTCACCATAATTGAGGTTCTCTAAAAGTTGCCTAGTCAGTAAAATGGGGTTAGAATGAGAAACCAGGGAATATGAAAATCTGGCTGAGGGTATACTCTGTTAATTCTTACATGGTGATGGCCTATGACCTGCACATCAATAATGATAAAGAATCTGAATGGGGTGAACTTTTTATGTTTACGCACCAACCGAAGCCAGCTCGGTGACTTAAGTGGGTTATCACATTGTGATCTATAAGATCTGTTGATCCTTTTTTATTAATCTTTTTTTTTTAATCATGTTTATCATAAGAATCTACATGAAAAGTCAGTTTATGTGGTGATATTTTGGTTCCAGGATAGCCAAGAGCCCAAGACTGAGAACTGATATATGAAGCTATCCTCAAGCTGCTTTGGTTAAAGATCAGGTTTTTCTTAAAATGAGATTGTTGTTGTCCTTTGCCCTGGAAGGCTTTTGAAATTGTAGAACGAACGCTGTTCTTGATGGCTACACTGTTAATGCACTGCAAATTTCCAATGTATTGATACCTTGTGTCCTGTAATTTTATCAGGATAAAGCTTAAATACCAGGAGAACAAAAGAAATAATTGATTCAGTTGAAAGCATAAGATCTAGATCTTATGTGCAGAGTTCTTTTTTGGAAAAAGATAATCTTGCAGAAAACTGCTGCTGTTGTGCACATTTTAGTTTCAGTCAACCTTGTAAAGTGGGAACTCTTCTGTCACATGGTGACTTGAATGTTGGTGAGGTAGCAGGATAGATCTTTCCAACAACGAAGAAAAGTGAAGAAGAAGATTGTTGGATCTTTTTCCAGTTTGTGTCGATTTTTGTTTTGTCCTTTTCATCACAATTTGACGTTGTCCTAAATATGGTACACTTCCTAACTCCAGGATCTTAAGAACCCAAGCCCTAGTTTGTTGAACGCTGCTTGCACCTTCCAGATTTTGATTGCAATATTGAGGAACCTGTAGTTAGGACGGGGTATTGTCTGAGCTACTGGGTCTCCATGTTATTAGTTCGGTGAAATTCCTATTATTATCATAAAAGAAAATTAACCCTACCTATCCTCTCCGAATTCGCTAAATGGCCAGATGTTCAGGTCGGTAACAACAGCTATTCTACCCTGTCACTTGGGGCAATTGGTTTATAGAACTTGTTTTTGAAAATCAGGCCAATCAAATGGATGATCTATCATGAACGTAAGTTTTTCTCTCTAAGAATGGAAGGAAAGTTGCCACAAGCTGCCTGGCTTGTTGCACATTTCTATGTCGTGCTGCTATTTTAACAGAAAAAAAAAAACAATTTCTGAAAAGAAATTGATCAGGAAAAAGAAACACACGAGAAAAACAATTTCCTCAGAAGAAAGGTATGAATTCTATCCAAAGGCACACTAAGAAATTCAGTGCGACAGTTTCATGGGAATGGACATGGATGCTACAACTATGGCAATAGCTTACACCAAGGAATCCTCCGAAAATATTTCAAATTTAAACACTCGTGTTACCAGTGACATACAAAGAGAGAGTGGGACGAAGAAGTGCTCAATCTGATATTGTTCATAAATAGCATTCTAGCTCACACAAAAAACTGTACAAAGACTGCTCCTATATGTTTGGCCAGTTAGATAGGTCCTAATATCTTTGATAGAGGAAGTTCTCCAATCCAAGCAGCAGACTCGTTCTCGTTCGATATAATGAATATAATTGGACATCCATGAACTTGCATTCATTTTTGTACAACCAAACCATCATGCAGCCAATTTCTCACGATTGCAAAAGCCTCCTCTGCATCTGTATCTTCTTCAGGAGAGTTCGGACGATGAGCAAAGCCATGACCTCTTCCCTCAAAAATTACTACCTTCGAACCCTGACCAATGCTCTTCTCGACGTCTTTCAAGATACCGACTGTACAAAGACGGTCATTATCTCCTGAAATAAACAGCACAGGAACCTTTATATTGGAGGCTAAAGAAGGGTCCATCCTCGTACCATAGAAGGATACCCCGACGCCAAAATAAGCTCCCTGATCTCTGGATAGCACATCTATGACTCGGCCTCCTCCGAAGCAAAATCCAATTATGCCAAGCTTCTTTGAGATTCCTGCGGCTAAAAATTCATCAATCATCCATTTTGCTGATGCATCAATGTCTTTTCCGACCCTCTCTGGTTTCTGTTCTGCGATCCATTGTTCCAACGTAGCCATTGGCCGGTCTTTTGTCCATGGATCCCCACGAAACAAGTCTGGAACTAGAACGCTGCAATCCAGTTTAATGAACACAAAAAAGTTAGGGAAGCTTCAAGAGTCAGTTGCGAGGAAAATGATAAATGACACAGACGTAAGTTCTGCGATTACGACTAAGAGTGACCAAATCAATATCATGCATGTCTACGTCAATCAGAGGAAAAACATGAGGACTATGCGTTTGCAACTTTATTTTCCTATCAATTCAAGGTTTAGTAGCTTACTTGTAGCCATTACAGGCAACACGGTATGCGAAATCTCTTGTCGATGGATCTTCGAACCCGAAAATATCAGACAAGAGCAATACCCCAGTTCCATTATTGTTCTTCACTGCCTTCAACAGATAAGCATTGATGCTATCATCACCTTCCCCTACTGAAAGTTCCAATCCACTGACTAACTCACAAGCTTCATCATCTACATCATCTTCAACTTTCAATAGGCTGGAAGAAACTCTGCAGGCAGTATTCCCTCTGCATGATCTCCAAGGATTAAAACTGCATTTCCTCTGAACATAAACTAAAGCTTTGGAGTCAAAAAGTAGCATTGCTTCAACAATACCAAGGAGCACTTACAATTTTAACATTTTTGTAAGAGCTTAAAAAAAATATATGAAAAAGGGTATACAGAATTCATAAAGCCTCCAATCATAAAAAATCTGTTATCTAGTAGCTTTATTATAAGTTTGATATTTGTAAACAGTAGGGATTGAAAAGAAGATAATGAACGTACAGGAAGAAGAGGAGAACCCTTTGAAAAGAAGTGAAGGCGGCTGCTGTGCCGGTCGTCGTGGTGGAGGAGAGATGGCTTTCTGCTAGTCATTGTGGTAGTAGTGGTGATGGTGATTGAGAAAGAACAGGCGGTGGAGACAAATCCCATGTCAGTGGCTCTCCTGTTTTACCTAGATAAGAGAAGTACAAGCCGAAGAACAAATGAGAACAGAATGCTGTGCATATGAAAATATCTTCCTAGTTGCCTGCTTTCCAGGTCAGATATTTTTCTTTTTTTGGTTTTTGGAACTTTTCATAATCAATTCCAGACCTCATATTTCCCTTTCTGGCTTCTTTTTCCATTTAGATTTTTAAGAACTAGAAAGTGCCCCTTACTTTGTATAGTAATGTACTTCAATACTAGTCAACTGCTGAAATTTATCTTGTAATCTTACTGGCCATTTTATTTAAAAACCAAAACTGAAAAATATTGACGGAAATTAAAGATTAAGATGTCATATCAATATCAAAACAAAGATCCTCTCTTACGAAGGCTTGTGTTAGTTTAATTTACAATATTATGGACAATGAATTTGCTGTATAAAAATTTACACTACTTTAGATTAACTACTTTGAGAAGATAAAAATGCAGTAAGAAAGAAATATGAAGCAAAAACAAGAAAAATACAGCTACAGCTGTATGAATAGAATAGCAGTTCTCTGGTGTCATCATGAACTGTACATCAACAGGAACTAATCCCCACAAAAGCTTACTGCATCTCTAGCGATTGGATAGCAAGCTTGGCTGCTACCATGGAGATATTCTCATTAACTAATTCTAGTGAATTGTCCAGCCTTTGTAGCGTGTCTTTCAGATCCATTGCTCTTAACTTCTGTTGCTGCAAATTGAATGTTTCTGATTGTGTAGATCCTGTAAGGGAAAAAAAAAAAAAAAAAAAAGCGAGATGCTGATCAATTTGATCTCTGCCAGGAAATTTTTCTTCTCAGGAGTGGTTCGTGAAATTCCAACTACTAGAATGATTACCACAACAAAATACTGAAGCTTTCTCAGGTATCTTTTTTTTTTTTTTTTTAAACGTTAAGAATAAAGGACAGTGAACATTTACTTGTAATAGGTTGGAATGCTGCAAATGATATACGCTCAGCCGGGGACGGGATGAAAGCTGGATCACATTCCAGGGATGGTTCCTTCTCAGCCCATGTTAGAGAGTTTGCGATACAGGTTTGCAGCAATGCATCTTTGGAAGCCTACTGACATGAAATAAATGAGCAGCCAACTCCCATGTATACGCCAAATGGTGGTAACAGGATGCAACTTTAAATTATGTGCAAATATCATACGACAGCGACTATTTCAATCACGTAATAATATGCTAAGTAAACACATAAGAAATCCTCAATCCGCCTAGGAAAATTAAAACCATTTTGCAACAGTCAGTGAGAGTATTTCACTCAACTCAAACCAACAATCTTTTGTGGGACGAAATTATGACAAATGTCTGGCTATTCTATTACCGAATTTAAAGTGCAGGCAGCTATTTATTAGGAAAGGAATCTGTAAGATCTAGTATCATAGAAGCTTAATCAATATTTAGCCCAAAACAGAACTGAATGGAGGGTGGTGATCCCTGTAGCGACCCCATCCTTGGCTGGTTTGGTATTCAAGCTTGAGTAGAGTGTGCATATATATATATATATATATATTTGTAAAAAGTTCATCATTCACTGATCAAAAGAATAAGAGCTAAATTTTTCCACTGTGCTTTATCTTTGGACTTGAGACGCTTGCTGAACTAAAATGTGAGACGCCTTGAGATTTTCTTGATGAAAATATTCACTTGCACAACCGGAGGTGTGAATTACAAACTTGTGAGAGAGTTGAAGAGTGAGAGGGACTGGTAGTACCTTTAGTTTGATTTCCAAGCTATTCAAACTACGAAGAGCCTCCTTCACTGCTATAACTTTGGAGCTAATTTTATTTGCACTGTCAATAACCTTATCCTGCATTGGTACGACTTCACCTATCAGGTAAGGCTCTGACTGCAAATTAGAATCACAACCAAGAAAATAAGTGAAAAGAATTGATAAGCTGAGGGAAAAAGCAAGATGATCACAAAAGATGGGAGAAAAGAAAAATAAAAATTCACATGGCACATTGGAAACAAGAAATAAAAAAAGAAAAGAGGACTCAGAAACTGCAACACTAAGGCAATAACTTTGATGATAAACATCTGTTCTAATTATATGCTTGCAAAAACAATCAACAATCATGGGCACTAGGTTTCAAGCTTGTCCCTAAATGATAGATGTTGAGCTTTTCAGAATAGCTGTTTATCCAATGCATTCCTTGTCCTTAAAAGGAAGACATCTTCGCTAACAAAACTCAAAAACAATTTTTTTTTCTTGTAATTTAGTCATGCCATTATATTAAGAAACTATTGACAGCTTACTCACCTGTACAAAATTTACAAGCTTGACACGGCCAATTCCCCTTATGGAGATTAATGCTCCAACATCTAAGCGTTCAATCTGCAGAGTACTAAAACACAAGTTATCTGCAAGGTACTCTAAAATTTTAAGTTTTTATCGCAAAATTTTGGAAGCTTACATTTTCTACATTGACCAAACAGCCATATCTAGCCGCAAAGGATGCTTCAGTTCCTGACTTGCTAATGAGAATAGGATCCAACACAAAATGCACAAACAACTTCTTTCTTAATAAAGACTGCCAAAGATGATAGTTACAAATAGATTGCACACACGTTAGACTTAGCTTATTGCAATGTTGCTACAGCAATTAAAAATTCTCAACACGCGCAATGAATTAGAAAATGGAAAAAAGAAGAAGAAAAGCTTATATATGAGATATCTATAAGCAATGTGCATAAAACAAAGAATTCAACCCCTCCCAAATTCCAATACTAACAAAACTGAGTTTGATGCAAGAAAGTTGCAGAAGTTAAGCACTTATGAATCATGGAATTGTGACTTAACCGAAAATAAACACAGCATGCATTTGTATAAACAAGAATAAGCGACAATCTATTACTCTCTATGCACTTGGTTTGCAGGTTATTTGTATGCAGGAAAACATCATTTAAGCATACGAACATCATGATTAACAACATTTCAACCACACTTTGGCTTCTACTCTTTCCCTCTCCCATCTTCTCCTTTTTCTTTCTATTCTTCTTCCGAAATTTCAAGCATTCAAGAAAAAGAACAACCATAATCAGACCCAAAAACAATAAAATAACAAAAGAAAAGACACTTAAAAGTTGTAGAAAAGCAACAAAGATGTTTGTTTCAACATTTGGCAATCTAGTTAGTATACACATCCATATGGCTAATCGAAACATCTGTAAATACAAGGATGCAAAATCATTTTCTCCTATCTTAAATTGCAATTCATCTTCTTGACCTTACCTCAAATTTAGTGGAACCTATCCTCGTGTTGAAGAATCTTACAAACCTAAAATTAGTATCACTAATCGCCTACTTCAACTCATTACGACATCCAGAACATTTTTCCAACAAATACAGCACAAACAAAGACGTAGTCTAAAATGTAAACTTCAACATAAAAAATTCAGAAGGCTTGAACATGAGACACAAAGATCATCTATAAGTCAAAGGTCAAAAGCTTGCAAAGCCCTCCACACCTCCTCCAACAAAAAATAAAATAAAAACTTAGTTAATAAACAAATAAATAGATAAATGTGCAAGGTAACATGACTATATCCACTACCTCCTCGAGCAGAGCTAGGTATCTGGCTTCATATAGATGCAGTGTCTTACTCTCAGATGGGACTAGAACCTGTCATTATGAAAAGCAGAGATTATTACCAATACGTAATAATCCTTCATTCAAAAATAAAGAATGGATCAATATTCAGCATCAAGTTATTTAAAGCTTTATTTAAATTCTATTTTTTTTTTTTTTACAACTTTTGGATCAATTAAGGACTAAGCAAACTTCAACAATTTTAGCATTCTATCAATTAGAGAAATCAAAATTGAGAAAGCACACCACAACCAAAAAGTACCTCTCTTTCAATACTAAGTTCGACAATTTCACAGCTCTTTTATGGGTTTTCAATACTCTCCCTCTTTTTATGCTCATGTCAATATATACTTTGCACCATATATATCAAATAATAGTACAAGATGAGACAGCCCTTTAAAAGGCAAACATCAAAATATATCTCATAAGAGAAAAGGCAAAAAAGAAAAACAAAACAAAACAAAATCCAAACAATAGATTCAGGTCTTATTATCTAACAAGTTAAAGGGTCAATGTTGTACAAAAACATGTGATTAAGTCAAGCAAGAACAAAAGAACTAGCTTATCACATGCCCACCAAAATTAACAACAGTACTAGTAGAGAAGTCTTAAGTTAACAAAAAGCAAAATGGACAGGAAAAAAGGGTGGTGAAAGTAAGCAGTAAGTACCTCGTTGGTGTTGAAAGGAAGAAGAGGGAGCTCGAGAAAGGAGGAGGAATTTAAAGACGAACGGCAGCATTTGCTTCTTCTCCTTCCTGTAAAAAGTTGATGATTCCCATTTTCCTTCACTTGGAAATGGAAAGAATGAGATGATGGTGATAATGGGTAAGGAATTCGGGTTCTTGAAACAGTACTGAGGATCGTTGTACAACTACTACTGCAACAAGTCGTCATGGACAAAGATAACCTCACTTGATTTTGTGTTTCTTCTTGGATTATTATTATTGCGCTTTGTTTTGTTTGGTGCTGATTGATAGAAGAAGCCAAGAAGGAGAGTTGAGATTGTGGCTAGTAATTTACATGATGATAACCGCTAGCTTTCCTTTGTTTTTAACGGTCGATGGATTTTATTTTCCTTTCTGATTGTTTTGTGTGTTACCATGATACTAGACTCGCGTAAAAAGTTAATTATATTTTTGGTTTATAAAGTTGTTAATTTTTTTATATTTGAGTATATTAATTTTAATTTTTGTTAAATAAATACACTTATTTATAAAATTTTTATATATTCGAGTGATTCTGTTAACTTTATATTGATATGACTGTTAACAATACATGTAGTATCAAATTGTAAACTGTATTATGAGACATATGACAATAATAAAAAAAAGGCTTTATTACATATTTAATATATAAATTTATCAATTTTTTCTATTAAAATGTGTAAATTTTAATCTTATTATTTATGTATATCAATTTATAATTTTTTTTATTTGACTGATTTCGTTAAATCTAAGCCGATGGATATGTTAACACTACATGTGCTACTACCATATACATGTATTATCAAATAAATAACAAATAAAAAAATAAAAAAATGATGATCTATTTTCATCCTCAGATAGCAAAAATAAACAGATAAATAAATTACATAAGAACAATTAATTATTTATTGTTTTACATAAAAATAATTTTTTTATAAATTAGAAACCTATAGATCCAAACTGTAGTTTGCCCTTTTTCTTTTATTTTACGTTTTACCCAATCCCTTTCTTTATTTACCGTATTATAATTTTTTGGTCGTTAAGAGAATAAATTATAAATTAGTCTTTCTAATTTTAAAAAACAAATTAAGCAGTTTCTTTTGTTGAAAAAACTAATTATTTAATACATGTATTTTTATTTTTTAAAACTTAATTCTTTTTTCATTTTTAAGTTATTTTTTAAAGAAATAAAAAAAAAAAAGTAAAAATATGAAATAATTAATAAGAAAAATAACATTTTTTTAAAAAATAAATTAATATTAAATTAAACATAAACCAGGCACGCATTCAGAGGTAGTTTTTGGATAATTTATTGAAAACGTCGACAGCTTTTCTATTTTCCCAGAACGAGAGAGATTGACCGACTGACATGCGGATATTGAAATCTTGAACGTTAAGCAAAGACAGAGAAGAGAAGGGAGAAATGGATGGACCTCCAGTAAACGATTGTTGCTCCATATGCCATGGACACTTCAACATTGCGTGCCAGGCCAATTGCTCTCATTGGTTCTGCGGTCAGTTTCTTCTCTAATTGCTTTCTTTAATGTTTTGCTGATTGATTCGATCTGCGTTCTTTCAGGATTTGCTTAAAAACGTTAAAGCAATATGATTTTTTAAAAAAAACAGGAAGAAGATTTTGATAAATATCTAAGAAAGATGAATGATTACTTTTATTATTATTGCTAAATTCCCATTTACTAATATCATTATGTGTCTATGATGGCTTTTGAGCTTAAGAGTCAACATTTTCGATCGGATTATAAAAAAGAAAACAAATAGAAATGTTTTTTTTCTTGATATTTGTAATCAATTATTAACACCCATGTAGTTTAAATTGATCTCAGATGCTTGGTTTCTTGTGATAATGCTTCAATTTATAGTCTATGAGTTGCACAGTTGTTTTAGGAACATATTTGGTTTGGTGTCATTAGTTTTCTGTTAGTCTTGTGCTGATAATAGGAATTGCATTCAATAACTTTGATATTCTTCTGTTCACTTTTTCAAGAAACAGATGTTATACAACTAGGATTTCTTGTCAATAATGTAATTATGTAAAAAGCATAAAATTATAATTAAAGAACGAATATCTGTCCATTTATGTGATCAAAATGCATAATTTATATCTATTTGCTTCGTCAAGTCTGTTGAACTGATATTTGGGAGTTTTTCTTTTTTCTTTTTCTTTTTTCCAATTTTTTGCGTTCTAGATTGTTATGATTAAGCATGCAGGTAATTTAAGATTATTTTCACTTGGTATTTTAAGGTGATTGTATTATGCTTGTTTGGCATCATGGATCTGTACTCCAGCCATGTAAATGTCCACTGTGTCGTCGAGAGATTACATTATTGGTTCCTAGTGAAGCTTCATTAAGGGAGCGGAATGATCCTGACATTGCTGAGGTTCTTGGAAAAATTGAAAGATACAATCATCTTTTTGGTGGAAACACCAGTGGTCTCATTCAGGTAAGCAGATTTACATGTCTTGGTATTTTGTCTATAACAAAACTTTCCTTGCAACTAATATTTCCTTACCAAATGGCAACTTTAGTCTGATCAGCATCAGAAGTAAACCGCCAAAACAAAGGACAGATAATGATTTCAGTCTTGGAATACATGTTGTTATTTTACCAACACTACTAAGATTCATAAAATTAGTCTTGATGAAATTGTGTGCATGCACGTATGTGGCTTGGTTTCTCTTATGCTTATGGCTAGTTCAAGTTCTCTCTCTTTCTCCTCTTTACTACTTGCACCTGTCCGTGCAAGTTTAGGAGGATTTTTTTTTCTTCAAACAATCTCTGTTATATGGAATTTGGTCCATAAAGGCTGTATTATTACCTTCTTGCTGCCCCTTTCAGATCCTTGTTTGTCCTCCCTTCCTTCTTCCATGCAGCATTCTTTGCTGCCACCTTGTTTCTCTGCAGATACTAGTTGCTCTACTTTGTAGATTTAGAGAAAAAGGAGGAGAAGAGGAGTATTTACTTTACTTTATGGTGTATTTGGTTGCACTTCTTTGGCCCTGTTTTTTCTCATTTTTCACAGGTAGGAGGTACTTTTTTCTTTTTGTAGATCCATTTAGGTATTTTCTTCCTTATCTCACAGAATGTGATATTTCTGATTTCTCAGCTAAAATCATAGAATACTTTACAGCTTTAGAGATTTAAGTGCATATAGAACTTAAACATGAGATCAAGTTATCCAAAAAATTACTTGGTAGTATTAGTAGGATTTGTAGTTATTCTGTTCATGGGGAACAATGAGGTCTGATACCTATGCCCCAGGGGCAGTTATTACTTGATTGTTTTATGAAGAATTGCTGTTGATTCTATAGATTTGAAGGTGCCAACCATGCAAACAACAGCCTCTGTTTTTAGATCTACTAGCCTGCCTTCCGATCTGTTCTCTTGATGTTCTGTTTCAACCATACTCGATCAAAGTCTTGCATAGATTAATAGATGAAGTTTTCACTCGTTTTTTTATTGGATATGATGGATGATTAGTAGTATTAGTCGATGATATGCACTGTAATTTTTATCTTTTTCAGCATTTATAATCATATCATATGCACATTTATATACTGTAATTGCTACGAGCTTTTAAAAGGTAGATTCTCTAATCTCCAGAGAATGCAAGACCTTCCATTTCTTCTCCGGAGGTTGTTGAGAGAAATAATGGATCCCCAAAGATCTCTTCCTTTGGTCATCAGGGCACGCGTCTATATTGCAGTTAAGTAAATCAGCAACTGTTTACAAGTCTTACTTCTTGCATTTTGGTTTTTAAACTTTTGCTTGAATGATGAACCATGTGAATGCTGCTATCTAATTGTTTTTTCCACTCAGTGTAATGTTCTGGCGTTATATCTTATTATTATTGGTACGATTTAACCTAAAATTTATCCCATCTGTTCAAAAGAGACTCGAGATTGAATCCCCACTGGATTATGCCTACCGTATCCAGTGCCTCTCATACCATGCCTTTGCATCTTGAGCATTTGACAAGGCCTCTATGAAATGCTAGAAAATTGTTGCTTAGTTCTTTAACATCTAATATAATATATTTCTGTGAACAACAATATTGTTTTGGGCACTAGAGCTTAACTCAAAAAAGACATGGTATGATGACCAAGCAGAAGATCGTCAGAATTAGTATTCATGACTTCCTAGAACTATGGGATAATTTTAAGGAAATCTGGATGCTGGGTTAATGGAACTAGTATGGGTTTTCTTTACTAATGTCTTTCATGGTGGAATCACCCCCAAATGCATTCTGTTTCCTGTTCTTTAATGTCAAAGAACTATTGCAGTTGTATTTTGTCTAATACATGAAACGTGACCATGACATAATATAGTCTTAGTATGAACAATTATTTTTGTGGACTGCTATGCAAGATAGACTGGCTTAGCAACTTCACATTAAGTTTTGCTGTTATGTTTTGCAATCATTGACTCGCACATAGTTTGGTTAGTTCGCTACGAGAAACTGTAACTATATTTGCTGTTTTACTTAACTCCTTAGACTAAACCACTAGCCTTCTTACATTGACCTAGCAGTGTTTTATGCATTACTTGATTTCTTGATTGGGCTGCTAGTCTCATTTCTACCGCAAGATTCTTATTTATTTCTTGTTTGCAGATGGTATTAAGTGCCATCTACATCATCAGCCCTGTAGACATTATTCCAGAAGGTAACTTATTGTGTTATTTTATTTACTTATTTATCTTTTTTGTCGTTCTATTGGATTGCTTTGGTTGACTTGTTTTGGTGAATAACACTAAAATAATGTGATCAGTTATGCCTGTTAATTTACAGGAATTTTGGGAATAGTTGGTCTCTTGGATGATCTCTTGATAGCGCTCATTTGCTTTCTTCATGTTGCTGCCATATACCGATCAGTACTCTATTTTCGTCACGGAGGTTCTTGAACAGAACATGAGGCATAATATGTTTACCTACAAATGGGGTTATAAGTTCTTCATAGAAACCTAAACATTTTTTTGCTAATTTCAAAGGAAGATCTTTTGTGTATATGCCAGTACCTTTTTTGCCCTCCTCCTGCAGAAATAACATCTATCTGCATGTACAAGTCGTTTACTACATACAAAATTAGAGGTGTAGTGATTGTCATTGATGAGATAGTGAAGTAACCCTGTTGTTTGATTTTGGTGTTGTAGTTTATACATTATCATAATAGCATATGTTGTTTCTTCTTGCTCTCTATTTCCGGATAAATACCTTCTTCACCTATGTGAGGCGAGACATTTTTGATGGGGCATCGCTAATGTTATTGTCGACTTTGAGGTGTACAGGGAGCCAGACCATATAGGGTCACCGGCATATAACCTTTGTCAAAAATATTAACAAGAAAATGACGGACAAGAGAAGCAGGTGTCACAAGTTTTATTGTGCAGAATTGCTGGACAACCATTGAGAAGAAAAGGTGAAGCAAACGATGGGCAATGCCTGGAGACTTTCTCTAGATTAAACAATGTTTCTGCTGGTTTGGATGCTGATAGAAATGATTGGTGAAACATACTGAGATGTTGGACTTTGAATTGTAGCCTACATTTTCAGCATCATGATCGCTTCTTTGACATTTGATTTTTGTAGTGAGCTGGGGAGCATATGGATGAGCAGAAGAGGAAGAAAATTAATTGAACTCCGACTAACTAATTCTCCAATATATATATAATTTCATGTAGGAGCTCTATATTGGTACGCAATTCATGCCTAGCTCCTCCATGTCAAAGATACAAGGATGCGCATGCAATAGCGTGTCAAAATGCAACTTTTTAACGCATGACAAGTTCTTGCTTCCAACTTTGTTTTGTACGACAGGAAACGATGGGACTGTCACCAATACCATATTGTACAACATTATATTGATTTCAAACAAGTAACATTATATATTGCCAGGTGACTATAGATACTGAAACAGAAGGTAAAAACAAAGAAAGAAAAAAGACATTATATATTGCCATGTGACTATAGACACTGAAACAGAAGATAAAAAAAGAAAAAAACCACCAAAAATGCAGTTTTCTCAACAGGAAAAACCAAAAGCAAAGAGCTTCGTGCTGATATGTCTACAATTTCTCTCATAATCCATGTTGCTTGGTCAGAACAGCAGGATTCAGGATACTTAAAGTCTCAATACAAAAAGTAGGATAAGTTCCGATGATAGTGTTCAGTCTACTAATCTTCCACAACCGTACATCAAACATAAATATATATAACACAAGGTATGCATGCAAAAACATTCTCCGAAGTTGCTCAATCACTGATGATACCTTGTATGTAAATGCTAAGAACAGAAAATAATACAAGTACACACAACCACATTATATGAGCGTGTTACAGATTCTTGATCAATTCTTCATACCATTCTCCATGAACACTCAGTGAAATCATTGCCACCACAACCAGAACTTCAGCGGCCTCCATTACCTTATTTGACAGAAGAGTTACTCCCACCCGTCGAAGAGCTGTCTCCACCAATTGCCTTCCTTTCGATCCACTTCCTCCCAACACAGCCCCTTTCATACCCAGATAAATTGAGCGAGAAACCAGCTCAAATATAGCATCCCCGGCTTGCAAGCTTTTCACCAGCATGCTTGACATAACCTCCTTCCTCGCTTGGAGCTCTTCATCACTTGAATCAGGGCCTCTGCTTTTTAATGACTCACTCATTGTATTAACAATTTCCGGGATACCTACATCTTCCACACTGTCTAATAGCTCAGAAAGCTTCTTCCCACACTCAGATACTACGTTTTCCATGTCCATAGAACTAGTTACCAAGTTCTCTGTTTGAAGGGTTTGCCTAAGGACCAATGTACTGCCAGAAACACAATGAATTTGGTTTCAGCACACAATTAGATGATATTTCTACGCAAGCACAGAGAGTAGGGAGGAAAAAAGAAAATGAAGAAAGAAGTGCAAGAATGCAAACTTAAACTTGAGATGAGTTTACGAGATAATAACCAAAACATGCACCAACCTTGTAGAGATGGCAATGATTTTCTGAAGTTGTGACTGGACACATCTCAGCCTGGATAGATTAAGTGTGAGAGTTTCAGGCAGAGCTTCTAGAGTAATCCCTCCTATTCCGCTCACAAGCTTCATCAAGCCAAGCCTAACCAACAAGTCAGCCTTTTCTCCCATGCATCTTGGTTGTTCATAACCTGATAAAGTTGTGCAAAGCAACAAAAAAAAAGGATAAGTACAACGTTTGGCAATTCTAAATGAAACAAAAGGTTGTGCATGAAGTCACTATTCGAACCTGTTGTGGAAGTTGCAGGTCCAATTTTTGTTGTTAAAACACTGCCTCCAGTTCTAAGTGTTGTTGGAAGTGGGACTTGGGTATCACTTGTTGTAGCAGACACAGTATCTACATACTCTTCCCACTCATGTTCAGCACCTGGATGCACAGATGCCAACCATTTCCTTGTCAGAGGTAGTGAGGATGGAGCATCAGCTGGAGAACCATATCGGTCAGCAAAAGCCTTTTTCAGATATTCCAGACCAGCAGGTCCCTTGATGAGTGGTTCCACAAGTCTAATGCGTGCTCTACTAATCTCAGTCTTGAGAATCTGCTAACAAACCAGCACTATAATTTAAGATGGAAAAGGAGAGAGAAGAATGACATGTAGAAAACAAAAACAGAGGAAAGCAACTGCACTATGTGAGAACTGATCTCTCCTAGGCCTGAGAAACACGAGTTCCAAATTCCCATAGACAGGTTATTTCAGCTCAGTCCACCGGCACAAATTATTTACACCGATGTAAGGTCAGAAAACATACACTACATGGATGAGATGTTTAAATTTCTTTTTTTCTAACAAAATTGTCCACAGAATCAAAATTGGAGACAAATAATCATGCTACACTAAAGCAAGGTCGATGATTCTCTGTGAGCAATAATCACGCTAAGGTTGACGCACCTCACCACATACTTCACTAAATCAGTATGTACAATACTGTAGGTGATGCACCTAGTCTTCCTTTGTTTCACAAAGCTAACACAATTTCAGTCCATACACAACTTCCCCCATGCAAAACCACAACTTGATGTCAAAAAATAAGAGTCAGAAATGATAATTCAACAGCAGAAATTTAGCTATCTTTAATCCAAGTTGAAGAACAAAAGGAAAGAGGATTGCCAAAAAAAAATGGCAAGTCAAGTATATAGAAGATGCAGTCTTCAAAGCAATGGATGCGGAACTGGAAAAGGAATAAAACTAAACACTAATACAGGAAACTCTTAAGTAGATGGTTTGAGCCACCAAGTGGTATTTGAATGCAGCAGCAAAAATTCATGTGGGCATATTAACCATTGAATAAATGAAACATCCTACAATTAGGGCAGATGTACAATTAGCAACACCTGGGGTCAAGTTGAAACTCCATCGAAGAAAACAAAAAGAGAAGACCAGGATCCAACTTTAACGAGTGATTCAAAGCAAGCACTTTTGCACAGAATAAGATTTTTGTTCACCTATATAACCTATATCATGCATGTTCTTGTGAACTGTAAACAGGAATTGCAGGCACATATGCACAACTCCACACATGTACATACATTAACTTACTCACAGAGACGGACACACTGCTTACAAAACATGCATGAACCATACAACCACTGATAACAAAATGAGTGCTAAAAATTTTCAGGTCCCACAGAAAAAGCACTAGAATTTCAGTAACTGCAACTACTTAATTATAGATGCAAAACATACTACTGGAACTAAAACATACCTGAATCTCCTTCAGAATAAAGCGCAGACCTTTAATCATTACAAGGGAAAATGAAGCATTTGATACATCCCCAGCTTGAGGTATCTCCCCTAGTTCTTTCAGTAAATTATTGTGAGAGGTCTTGATCTCCTGATCATTTGCAGGAGCGGAAAGTTTCTGCAACATGACTAATGCAAACTCTAGAATCCTTCCAAGATAATCCATATCTAAAGTTCCTGATCTGAGCATCTTTATGAGGCAAAGGATTTTTCAAGATATGATGATAATATTAGTATTTCAATGCATAATAACTGGTAAGGACTGCAGTATTTAAGAGCTTTACAACTTTATTTACCTGGGAAAGTATATCAACATCAATAGTCTCAACGATCTCCTGTCTCCAACTCTGAGGGGACATCTCGCAGAGCTCATCCCTGACTTCCTTCATGAGTTTAAGGAACCAACTAAAATCAGGCTCATCCGGTTTCATGGATTCTATGATTCCATCCCAGAAAGCGTTTTCCATAGTCTCTCTTACTTTTGCCTGCACGACAATGGAAACGAGCAAGCATCGATGAGGATTTTATCTCTATCCCATGCTAACAAATTACTGAAGGAAGAAGTGACATTTCTGAATAAACAAAGAGGATGAAAAATATTTTCATGTACCCACCTTGAGGCTATTCTGATCTTCACCAGTAACATTAAGACTGTCAGCAAAACCACAGTGATCTTCATGGACAATTTCATTTACTAGTGATTCATTCTCACTGGCCAACATGGAGACAGAGTCCACAAAGCTATTTATGGTACTTTCAGAAAGAGAAGAACCAAGTTCTTTAACTGGGGAAGAATTGTCCATCTGAAATAGGGAAAGAATTTGGTGGCTTGACCTTCCAATACCTTCAGCCAGAAAATGCCTCTCACCAAAGCCAGAAACTGAAGAGCCCACAAGGGAATCCCGTGAAAAGGAAGATGCAATATCTGAAGCAGAAGATCCTATTGAAGTCCCAGATTTCTCAGCTTCAACAAATCTAGACTGCACATCAGCTAGAGCATGTTCCAGATGTTCGAGCCCGGCATCACCACTCAGATGCTGCACTATTTCCCTAAGAAGTTTCTGCTCTTCTAAAACCTAACATCACCAAAATGATAAAATGTTAGTTTATCAAAAAAGCTCTATAACAAAAATCACTTCTGCTTAAGGCAAGTTTAATACCTGTTTTTTAATACCCTTCATATCACAAGTAAGACCACCATCATTTCCTGAAGTCAGCTTGCAGGTTTGCAACAGAGAGAGCTCAAGCTGGCAAGCAGCTCTCACTAAATCCTTCTCCAACAACTTAGCATCCTTAGACTTCCATGCTACAAAGCGATGCAGGTAAATGCACCAAGCCTTATCAAAGGCTTCCAGCTGAGATCTGAAAGTCTTTTGACTAGGATTTCCAGAGGCTGTTTCCTGTGATGTTTGATTGGGGCCATCTATTATAATTTTGGCTAACAACTCGAACTCTCGAATAAAGTTAGCTGCAGAGTCAGCCAGCGCAATCTCAGAGTCACCCACTCCATTGAAAACTTCATCTGGGTGTCCCATTATCATGTAAGCACAAAGCAAAACTCTGACAGGGTACCGTGATGATTTACTAGACTTAATAGTTTTTGCTCCTCTTCTTGTAGCATTGCTTGAATGGCCCTTAAGACTTGGTAAAACAGCATGCTTGTGAAGGTGATCGATGTTGGAAAGACTAGATGGGCTACCCATAACTTCCTGTGAGAGTATGATTCGACTCTCT